GCAGTGGTGACAGGGATGTGAAAGACAAAGCCAAATTCTGGACAGTGGTGCACAGCTGTCACACCACAAATGAAGAGCATCTTCATCAGCTCATCCATGTGAATTGATGGATTACAACCAGGGAACTGCATATGGAGCTGAATATCAGCTTCAATGCACTAGAAATTCGAATTTCCCAGAACCTGGATGAACCACTGACTGACCACCACACTGTGATACTGACTAAGCTGAAGGCTCGAACTTCAGAGCCAGGCCAGAGAAAAAGACAACCTTTCTCTTCCAACACAATAATGCCAGGCCCCATTCCAGTTTGAAGACCATGGAGCACACTGCCCATCTTGGCTGGATTGTCCTATCACAACCACCGTATAATCCAGATTTGGCACCTTCTGAGTTCCATCAGTTTGGGCCAGTGAAAAACTGTGTGGGGAACATTTTCCTTGCAATGATGCCTTCATAGCAGCTGTGAAACGGGCCACCTCTGCTGGCACAAATTTTCACAAGTGTGGCATGCAAACTCTTGTTCATCACTGCTGAAAATGCATACATTGCTAATCATGGTGACTATGCTGAAAAATAGTGTTTGTAGCTGAGAATCTGCTCAACCAAATGGTGTTATTGTGCTCTTTGTATTTGTTTTAATTTCCATGGAAATAAATAGGATACGTTACTTTCAGAACGGCCTATGTAATATCAACTCAATAACCTATCCAATGAAATGAAATCTACTATAACACAACCATGTAACAGCTGTAAAATAAGTCATACTGACCAAAATAACAGTTATTAAAGAAAGGGATAAAGGCAACCTCTGCAACACAAAACCTCAAAATTACTGATTCCTGAGCACTGGAAGGTATGCACCAGGGAAAACAACTCCTGGTGCTTGGTCTATTTTTATATATTCTTCCTAATCATCTGTTTCTGGCCATTCTTAGACACAGACCAGCAGAACAGGTAGGTAGACCTTTGGGATCATCCAAATCTTTGCTCTGAAGTTATGCCCATCAACAGTCCTAACCTGTGCCAGAACGAGCTACTAAGCTCAGGAAACTTTGACATCTTTTGTCTGCATGCGTACATGGGAGCAGCTTCTGAATAGGCTCATGTCACAGTTGCCAGCTTTTTGGTACTGCTATCTTAAAGAACGTTTCTGAAATTCTTCCAGTGTGGTAAACCTACTCATCAACCGCTCGCAGGATGAAGTACCTTGAAGAGGTGGAGGTTGAGGCAGCTGCACACAGCTCTGACAGCCATCGCTTTCCCACTGCCACTTGGTCCTGAGAGGAGAACGCTGCCAGCCCCGCTCAGCGCTGCTGCCCTGTAACACAAATTCAAAACCAGAGCTATAATCAGATGTGTGTCTTGCCCATCCTGCTACAACCTGAGACCCAAGGTCTCAGCTCTCCTAAGGTTTGCTAGAAGGAATTTTAACTCACTGACTGGTCAGGTGAGGCCGAAGAGCATCACAGAGCTCCTTCACAACATCAGAAAGTCCAGCAGGAGACAAACTGCTCCAGAACTCATGGCTGGTGTAGGCTGGGGCAGATGGGACGGCACTGTTTGTTGAACCCACCTATGAGAAAATCAGCACTTTGTAGAACATCTGTTGAGAAAAGACAATGACCAACTGACAGTCTGTCCTGAAACTCCATTTCTCAAGAGCAGGAGATGCAAGCCTCCACAGGCATATTTGTCATGGATAGACCTCAGGCTCAGATCTTCTGGACAACCACCTTGCTCTCTGACATCTTACCAGATACAGAGAGGTGTTGTGGGTGTCTGCCAGGTAACCCTCGGACTGCATGCCTTCCACCGTGCCTAATACCTTCCTCACTTTGAAGTAAAGCTCTGGCCACCTAAAGGAAAACCAAGAAGTCTGAACTGTTGGATCAACATCTTGAAGGCAAGAACATCTAAGTGCACAAATGGAAGGCTTGTGCCTCCTGTAGTTCTACCTCCCTCCAAAAAAAAAAAAAAAAAAAAAAAAAAAGCCTAAAATATTAATCATAGGGTTATATTCCTAAGTTTTAAAATATATCATGGAACTCAACACATCTTGCAAATCCTGCATGAACAGTTCCATTTTCTACCCCTTCCTCCTCTTTTCTTTTCCCGCTGGACTCTCTCTCAACTCTTCCCTCCATAAGCAAGCTAAGGGAGGCTGTGCTCTTACCTGCAACCGTCTCCAACCCAACAATGTTTCCCCATCCCTGTAAAATAACAGGCAGATAAACTCCCAGCTGACAACCCTGTCTGTGGCAGGGGGTTGGAACTCCATGATCTTTAAGGCGCCCTCCAACTCAATCCACTCTATGACTCCATGGACTCCAAGAACAGAAGAGAACAGAACCCACTGTCTTGTTTCAAGGAGAAAAGCACCTTTCCTCTTTTTGTATCTGTATAACAGAACTGGTTTATTGGCACTTACCTAAGGAGTTTGTCTGCATTTCCATCTAAAAACTCAGCACATCCAAATGTTGGGACACAGAGGACATCTCCCTCCTGGACCAGCCTACAAAACAACAACAAAAAGAAATAAACCAAGAGCTTCACTGGTGAGAAATGGTAAATTCTTCTTGTGCATCCACTCCATACCACATGCTTCTACAGAAATGAATACAGCAGTTAACACCAATTCAGTCCTTTCCGTATTCTGAAACCGGGAATACCGAAGGACTGGGATGCATGGGATGGAAGATGGAGAGTGCTGTGTGGAAGTGAGGCCTGTGTGAGCTTATGGGGAGATGAATCATGGCATCAGGGAACACATCGATGGAGGGGCCCCACGACGATCACAGCGTCCAGCTCCCGTCTCCACACCGCCCCGCCCCCCATGGTGTGAGCGGACATCTACGCAGCATCCAGCCGCGGCTCACCGGGGCGTCTGGAAGTGCCGGTAGAGCAGGCGGTCGTACACGGCTCGGGCGCAGTAGGCAGGCGAGCAGATCATCTCGACGTGCAGCTCCGCGGCGAAAGGCGGCACGGGCAGCAAGGAGCGGCTGCCCTTCCCTTCCGCAGCCCCGGGCACCCCGTCGTACCTCTGCGGGGGGACGAGGCACGCCGTGAACCGCCCGCCCCGCGCCCGCCGCCCCCCACCCGTCGCCGGGGCTCACCCGTAAGCAGACGTGCGTCCCGCCGCCGGGCTCGCAGCCCAGGTTGAAGGCGAGGGCGGGCGCCAGCAGGGCGGCGCCGTCCGGGGGCCGGCGGCGGGCGGCCCGCGGGTAGTCCCAGGCGGGCGGGCGGGCGAGCAGCGCGGCCAGGTGCGGTCGGGCCGCCCCGTCGGCGCTCACCCGCACCCACTCTCCCTGGAAAAGCCCCAGCGCCAGCAGCCCGCGTCGGCTCACCCACACCTCGGCCCCTCCGCCTCCCGCCCCGCCGCAGGGGGGCGCCGCACGCAGCCGCGGCCCCTCCGCCCGTCCGCGCCCCGCGGCGAAACGAGAGACGAGGGGCGGCGCGGCGGGGCGCCGGCAGGGGGCGCCTCCTGCGGGAGCGGGAGCGGGCCCGGCCTCGGCCTCGCGCGGCGGCGGGGCGGCGAGCGCGACGCGCGTGCCGTTGCCTAGCAACCCCTGGAGCGCCGGCCGCGCCTCCAGCACCAGAGGGCCCGGCCCCGGGCCGGGGCCCGGCAAGGCCTCGCCGCGCCGCGCCAGCACCGCGCCGCCCGCCGGCCTCCCCGCCCGCCCCGCCGCCCCCAGTAGCACCCAGGCCAGCGGCGGCGGGCGGCGCACCGGCCACACGGCCACCCGGCGGCCCGCCGCCAGCCCCAGGCGGCGCAGCAGCGCCCCGCGCAGCCACAACTCGGCGCCCCTCCGCCCGCCCGCCTCCAGCGCCACGGCGCTCAGCAGCACGGCCTGCGCCCCGACGCGCCCCGCCGGCCGCACCGCCAGCACCAGCCCGCCGCCGCGGCCCCGCAGCGCCGCGCAGAGCGGCGGCGGAGCCAGCAGCAGCGCCGTCACCGGCACCGGCTCCGCCGGCGACGCGTCCAGCGGACGCAGCACCGCCACCGCCATGGAGGCCGCGCCGGCACCATCGAGAGGGCGGCGCGCAGGCGCGGAGGGCCCCCTCGCGGGCCATAGAGTAGCGCCGCCGGGTAGCCTAGAGAGGCCGGCCCGCCGCCACGCCGCCCTGCGGGCCGGAGGTCCCGTGGTCGGGAGCCGTTCGCCCCGGGCAGCCGCTCAGGGAGACCTCATTGAAACCTTCCAGTGCTTCAGGGGAGCTTATAAACAGGAGAGGGACTGACTTTCTGCGTGGTCTGATAGTGGCAGGACAATGGGGAATGGCTTTAGACTAAAAAAAAAGAGATGTAAGTTAGATGTAAGGAAGAAATTCCTCAGAGTGAGGTGGTGAGGCTCTGGCACAGCTGCCCATAGAAGCTGTAGATGCCCCGTCCCTGGAGGTTTTCCTCCAGGTTGGATGGGGCCCCGGGCAGTCTGAGCTGGGGGGGCAGCCCTGCCCATGGCTGGGGTTGGAACTGGGTGGGCTTTGTGGTCCCTTCCAGGCCAAACCATTCTGTGCCTCTATGAAATGTGCCTCGGGCCAGCAGCCCTCCCTGTGAACCACCCCTCACAGCACAAGTTGAGAGCTGGGAGTCCCTCCAGCAGAGCTCTGCATCCCACACAGGGACAGGGCTGAGGTGTTTCCCCATTGCAGTAGCCGGATGCTCCTGGCTCCTGGCTCACAGCACTGTGTCCAGCGTGAGGCAGAGAGCCAGGCCATCTGCACGCAGGCAAGGCAGGAAAAAAAAAGGATCGCAAGCATCCAGTGCCAGCGTGGCACGGCCCAAATAAAGGGTTTGCAGATGCTGCTCAGGCAGGATTAGGCCTCCAATGTGCTAAGTCTCGGCTCTCACAGAGCCTAATTGCTGCTGCAATAAGCCCTGCTGCTGGTCCTTTCACGAACTGATTTCCCTCCATCATACGTGTGGGATTTTTTTTGTTTGCTTTTTGTTTTGTTTCAGTTTTTTTTCTGCAAAGCTTCTATTTGCCATGCATATGTTCCCAGCCAGCCGTTCCCCTGTGCACCCTCGGCCTTCCACACTGTACCCAGTGTGCAAGGAGCATCCTGGCAGCAGGGACAGGTGACAGCATCATGACACGACTGTGCTGACACCGAGCTGTGTCAGGAAACTTTCCAAATTGGGATTACTCAGATTGTAATAAAACCTTCTGATATGAGTTAGGTTTTGGCCAGCAGAGAAAGCTGGAGGTGTTCCAGGAGAGCTGTCACAGTGCATGTCTGGGCCAAATCGACATGGCAGCGAGGAGGACAGGTTGCAGCTCGAGTCTGAGCACCTAGATGCCCACAACACCCTTACTTGTGCCTGCAGATGATCATGGGGTTGCCAGCACCATCCTGCTTGGCGCATCTGCCAGAGAGGCTGAAGTGCCCCCCAGGTGCCTCCACCATCCATTCACCTAACCCAAAGCCCCCCTGCCCCCAGACCACAAGGGACACAGGGCCCAACTCTGCACCTTCCAGTGCATTGGGCATTTCTGGGTTGGCATGGGTCTTTGACAAGCAACAGTCAGTTGCCTTTGGGCATGTAGAGTCTGCTGAACTGGAACTCAGCTTGGGGGAAGACACATGAGAGTTTGCTCTGCTCCCCTGGGTAACTGCACAGCCTCAGGGGAGTGACCAACTCCATTCGGACATGAGTCTGCAAGATCTTCTCAAAGCTGACAACTACCGTGACGTCCACCAAAGTAAAATTGAAAAATCACCAATGAGGAGCATGAAAACCAAAGATATGCCACAATTTTACTTAAGATGTATAATAAATAAATGGTGGACAAAACAGGAACAGCCACATTCAAAAATCCGGATCACTAAAGTGCTTTTAAGACATAAATACAGGACGACCAAGAAACAGCTCTGACATTACACTATTTACAGACAATTACAAAGTATTCTCTTATGTCAGTTCCCAAGACTGTTCAATTGTTCCAGGGTGCTATGGCTTGGTTTTCTGTTCTATTATGCATAGTATGGAAGATAACATTCAAGAGTGTACAAAATCATTGCATAAACAAAAACGTTTGTACCCCCTTCTCCCAAACATGAGTTAAGGAAGCTACACAGTGTAAATCCAGTGATAAGGCTGCATTGGCAGGCCAGATCCTCAGGAGGTATAAACTGGTCGAGTTACACCAGCCTGAGGATGGACCCTACCGTGTATAAAAGCCCTGCTGCTCCTTGAGGTGGAAGAATCACATGCCTGAAGCAGAGGGAACCACCACATGGGTGCTGTGCAGGGGTGGAAGTGCTCAGAGAAGGCATCCATAACCTGCACTATCTCTGCACCCGGATATCAGAGCGATTCCCATGGCACTCCTGCTCTTTGTGCTCTTGGATAGCCCGGGACACATCCCAGAGGAGAAGGGGGGCTCTTGCTGAGCAGCCATCTGTGCTGCCCAAAGGATGGTCCCGTTTTCACACTGCTCTCGGCTGTGTTGGGACACATCTCCCACGCTCCACCCTGGCTTCACCTGTGCTCTGCTGACAAGTGAGGGGACAGAGTCGGGAAGAAGGTTTCCAGTTTTAAAATGCCCTGAATTCAGATAGAAGTTCAATTATTTCAGAAAAATATAGAGATATATCAATAAACCAATAAATATTCTGATCTCCCCAGAAAGCTGTGAGCTCTGGCCTCTTCCAGGCTGCCCAAGCTCAGTGGTCCCTGTCCTTCTGCTCCGTGGTGGGGTCCCCGTTTATGCACTGCCTCAGTACGCTTCTCTTCTCCTGCTTGGCTGTCCTGGAGAGGTCGATGGCTGTGTCTTCAGGATCTTTTGCAGGGCCAAGCTTTTCGGAGCTCCTCTGGGAACTGGCCTGCTTCCCTTGAAGTTCCTCTCCATCCTTCTCTGCTTGCCAGCCATCTGTCGGCTTCTCCTGGCTCTCTGCCTTCCTGCTCACCTCCATGGACTTCTTGTGCATGCCTTGCAGAGGGGGGAGAGCAAACCAAAGGAGCCAGTTGCTTATTTCTGCCTGAGACTGCTCAGTGTTGGAGGGGAGCATGCTGCTCTGCCCTCCTGCTGCCTACCCTAGCTCACACTTACATCCAGAGGAAAACTCATGCCACCACCCCCAGCCCAGACCCTGCAGCCTGCTCTCTGCACCACCAAGGATGGTTTGCAGCAGGATCAATCTGTACATTTCCCTCCCACTCAGAAGGGAAGACGTGCAAGGAGAGTGGTGCTGTGACAGCCCATCCCAGCCCAGTCTTCAAGTGTCACATTCATGCGTGACCCCAGGGTCAGAATGGCTTGGGTCAAAACGGATCTTAAAGATCACTTGGTTCCAATCCCCCTGCCGTGTGCAGGGACCCACTCCTACAGTTCCAGATTTCTATTACACCGGAGCCCCAGGGTAGCTCTGACATAGCACTAAGACTGCCATCAGCTGCAGCTCCCACCAGCCCCGCTCTTGCCTGAGGCTCACCCAGCAGCCACGGGGCGCAGGATCCCACCAGCCCACTTTTGGCAGAGTTGATGATGGACTCGGGCAGAGGGATGGAGTGCCGCACCATGGCTCCGTACAGGCCGTACTCAGCCATCACGCTGCTCCGGCCCCAGCACTTCTCCCGCTTCCGCCACTTGGCTCTTCGGTTCTGAAACCAAACCTTCAGGGGTCACAGCCAGGAGAGCACGGAGGGGTGGGATGGGGAGGAGATGGGCGTTTGAGCCGTGGTGGAGCGCGCCAGGGGGCGGCCGCGGGGTTGGGGTGCACGCAGGGTTGGCAGTGGGAGGGTGGCCGGGGCAGAGCCACAGAGGGGAATTTGGGGAAGGCACACGTGGGTGTCAGTGAGGGAGGAGAGGAAGGGGGGGAGAGGGAGCAGACGTTACACGAGGCTGATCCTGACCTATGGAAGTGTCCCCAGCCTGAGTCACCGAGGGCAGCCCCTGCATGCCACCCACCTGCAGAGCCCTTCTGTGCAAAGCCATTGGTGTATGCAGTAAAAGGGGTCCATGACACACTCACGGATGATGGCAGAGGATACTCGAGTCCCTCTCCCCATCTCCTTCTTGTACTTAAAACCTCCAGCTGTGTCGATGCAACCTAAGCATCGGCCAAACCCAGACCCCAATGAGCTGCTCCGCAACAAGGCAGGATTGGGCCATAAAGTGCCACCTCAAGAACTGTGTGAGCAAGCTAGGAAGCAGCCTGCACCTCCTGCACTGCTCCAAGCTCCTGCCCAAACAGCAGGGCACTGCATCCCTTGGTCTGCACTTCTGCTCAGAGCCCGGGCAGTGCAATCATAGAATCACAGAGTGGCTGGATTGGAAGGGACCTTAAAGCCCATCCGGTTCCAACTCCCTGTCCCGGTGTGCAGGGCTGTCGTCCACCAGATCAGCCCCCCAGTGCCACCACCTCCCACTCACTTGCCCAACGGCGCCGCACGGCCGGTGTCAGCGGCCCCCCGGGCAGCGAGGAGCCGCCTACCTGGATGCGGTCCTCGGGCAGCTCCGTCTTCACCGCCAGCATCTCCCTGGCGTAGACGTCGGGGTAGTGAGCTTCGTTGAACGCCTTCTCCAGCTCCTCCAGCTGATGGGCCGTGAACACCGTCCTGCGAAGAGCGGAAAGCGTCCTGCGACGGGTCCCGGCGAGCAGGGCATAGCATCAACCCCTCCCGCCTCCCCCAGCTTGGATGCCCTGCTCCTCGCGAGCACACCCACGGGGACGCACGGGGGTGGCCGGCTGTCACCTGTGCCGCCGCTTCTTCCTCTTGATCTGCGAAGCCGGCATCTTCAGCTCGCTGGCGTCCCCGGACAGGCTGTCCTCATCTGGCGGCAGCATGGGAAAGGAGAGGGGGGGGACGACACGACAGTCACATCGCATCCCGCCAAGGGCTCCCCGCGGTGCCACCACCCCCGGGGGACCCGAGGGCGCCGCGGGCGGGGGACGGCGGCTCACCGGAGGCACTCTCCTTGTGGCGGCGGGCGGCGGGCGGCGGCCCGGGGGCAGCCGGGCGGGGACCGCGAGCGGGCAGCAGCGGCAGCGGGGCGGGCAGCAGGCAGGGAGCTCCCGGCCCCGCCAAGCCGCACAGCAGCCCCAGTCCCAGCCCCAGCGCCCCGCCGCCCTCGTAGCCGCCGGCGGGCCCGGGAGCGGCCCCGGGGGGGGGCTGCAGCTCGGCCTCCAGCCCCAGCAGGTCGGTGATGGCGAAGCCCTTGGCCCGCAGCCCCGCTCCTCCCGGACGCGCCGACCGTTCGGGGAGGGCGCTGCGAACCGACGCCGGGCCCGGGGCCGCCGCCACCGCGACGGGAAGCGGCACCGGCACCGCCGCGCGGCCCCCCGACGGCTCCGCCCGGCCCGGCATCGCCGCCGCCTGGCCCGGCCCGGAGCGGGCACTACCGCCCGCCGCCCCTTTTATCCGCCCGCCGCCGGGCCCGGCCCCAGTCGCGGCCCGGGGCGGCGGGGGAGCGCTCCCAATCCCCGGATTAGTGGCCCTCGGGCCCCGGGCCCCTCCCTCGGGCCCCCCCGCGCGGCCCCTCCCCGCCGTCCCCTCGGGTCCCCCTTCGGGACCCTCCCCTCGGCCCTCCCCGTCCGTTCCGGGTCGCCTGGGTGCCCCCCCGGCCGCGGGCCCCAGATCCTAGGCGGGGCACTCCCACCTGCCCCGTCCGTTTGGGGCAGGACCTTCTCCTCGCCCCCCGGGGCCGCTGGGAGGTGCCTGGCATCCTCCCTCCTTTTGGCTCCCAGAGTCTGGCACCTGGGCTGCAATTTTATTTTATTTTATTTTTCTCCCTTCCCTTCATCTGTTTATGGAACCGATTTACAACCGGCTTACACGGGCTGCCTGATCCCGGCCTTCCCGCTGGACGGTCAGATTAACCGAGGGTCCTTCTGATAAAGATAATTACAAGGGGACTCCGCATTAACTTTGCATTATTAAAGAAAGACCCAAATCTCTCCTCGCAAGCTGTTCCCGGGATTAGCAGAACAATAACTTTCATTTAGGATAATTGCCGTGCCCGGCGCTGGGGGCCGTCGGGGGGAGGGGGTGAGAGGGGACAACCGACCGCGCTTCACACCCCCGACGGGAGGTGGCGGCCGGGGGGCGACGCGCTCCCGAAGCCACAATGCGGGATGCGGGGATGCTCGGGGCTGCCCGTGCCCAGGGATGGGCACTGTGACGTCCCCCCGACGTCCCCTCGGGCACCTTCGGTGCCCCTGAGCGCGTTTGCCGCAGGTTTGCTGGAAGGGGAGACTTTCACTGCCGGGCGGGGAGGATCTGCCACAGTAATTAGAAGCCCTAATCCGGCCACCACCCACAACAAATTTCCTGTCCGAGCCGATCTTAGTGGATAAACCCCTAATTTTTGACGTTGTCCCAGAATCAGCTTGATTTCAGCAGTTTAACGTGAAGGCTGAGCTGTTGGGAGAGATGATGAAGCCTTAAATATGCATATGGCCCAGTCATTTGGAAAGTTTGGGGATAAAGCGCGTATAATTGCTCCTAATCAGTTTATGAAACATAAAAGCCCGAACCCAAGAGAAAGCCGATAGACGCAGAAATGGAAATAGCGATTAAATCTCCCCGTGCCGGCGCGGTGGCCTGGATATGGGGCAGTGCCATGGGATGCCCTACAATGTGCCAGGACGTGGGAGGTGTGGGGTTGGCTGGGGGGATACGGAGCTCCTCCAGCAGGGCGGAGAGGGGCATCTCTGAGGGGCATCTCCCCCAGTCCTATGGACAATAAATCAGTTAAAGGATATCTCGATATACGCTCATCAGATAGGATTATCTGGGATTAGACTAATCAGTAAATGTTTCTCTGCTCATTATTTTCCAGGGAAGATTTTCAGCTGATTCTCCGATGCCGAAAGATTATTAATCGCTTAAAGAGCAGAACATCAAACATCGCTCTTGCTCTAATTTCCCCACAGTGCCCCCTTTTCCCCCCCCTTCTCCCACACGTGCCAGCCAGAGCGGGAGCCCCGGCATCCGGCCCCGTGCCCCATGGCCTGCACCCCCTTGGCACAGCCCTGCTGGGATGGATGCCCGGGGCTGGAACCCCAGGGTGAGCCCTGCCAAGGCCCTGTGGGATTACAGATGTGTGTTTGGTGAGCCCTGAGCCAGCAGCTGGGAGGCCCTGGAGTTCCCTATTTGCAGTGATGTGAAGGAGAACCTTGGAAGGATGTGCACTTGTCATGGGTTCACGTTCTGCAAAGATGAGGGAGGCGGGGGAATGAAGGAGGAGATATGGAAAGGACAGAGTTAGGGGATTTGTAATGGGATAAGGCAGCTTTCACCTTCCTGCTTTAGATATGAATCAGGTCAATAATAAAGGACAGCCCAAACCCTCTGACTGTTTGTGGCTGCTGGGAGTGGAAGAGTTTCCCGTGCCCATGGACAGCATCACTGGTCCCCAGTGCACCATGCCACAGCCCTGCACTGCTCCTGCTGGGGTAAAGGAACAGGGGCACGCTCAGATTGGCAAGGGGAGGAATCTGGAAGGCAGTTGTCTGCATCAGTAAACTCAGGCAGAAGGAAAAGGGGTTTTCCTTCAACTCCCCCATGTTCTGCTGTGGAAGCAATGGCCAAATAGTCTCCATTTTGGGGCGACGAATTCATGGGGACAGGTGGCATGGACACATCTGGCCGTGCCCTCTGCCTGCCGTGCCAGAGTGCAGCAAGTGGAGCTCCTAGCACACACGCCCCGGAGACATCCTCACTAATTCCTCTGCACAGCTTTCTGTCTTAAGACATTTGCCTTTGATTAAAAGCAGAAGAGCAGTCACGGTTTAAGTGGAGTTTAAGAGCAATGTGCCGACACGCAGCGCTCTCACATCTGGAGTGCTGCAGATTTAATCAAAGTGCTGGGAAGTGCCGCACGCAGACAGCTGTCACAGCAGCCTGGAGCAGATCTCCTAATTAATTCCTAGCCAAACACGGGGCAAACAAATGACCATCCAGGTGCTACACCTACAGCCACGGCTGGAGGTGTGATGGGCACGTGGTCAGCAAGTAGGGCTGGGGATGCTGTGCCTTGGTGGTACCTAGCACCTGTCCACTTGTTTCCATGGGAGCGGCGTCCTACAAAACACAAGCAACAGCAAAACCTGGCGGATCCAGGCTGGGTGCTCCCTCACAGCTCATTAGAGCTAATTGAGTTGACTGCTGGAGCTGGGTCTGTGTGGGTGCTTGGAGTCCCGGGCGCACGGCAGAGCTGGGAAGGTCTGACCACACAGAGCCCAAACTAGCCGATGGACTGTCCACTCCAATTAGCCCCACAAAGGAGCTATTCTTCCTCCGCGCTATGCCTGTCCGATTACTTTATCTTATTATTTTTTGATCATTCCTCCAAAATGTGCTAATTAAACAGAAATCATCAAGTCAATTAGAGAAACACTCATTAAAGCAGAAAAGAAAAGAAAATATAAGCAGCAGAAAAACGGCTGCGAGGCTCCCAAGCACACACAATAGCTGCCACATTCATTATATCAGCATCTCCCGAAAGAGCGGAATACATTGTCCCACTCCGCTCCGAGCCTTGGAAATGAAACCTTCCAAGCAATGGAGTCAGATTTTTTTTTTTGTCATATAGAAATAATAATTAAAAAAGAGCATTTCACTAGCTTCTCAGGTATCTTTTACATTTGAAAGAGAATTTTTCGGTCCCATTAAGGACTTCATTGGAGGACAATGAAACTTGCTGGAAGTTTTGAACCAAACCTTGGAAAAGCTGGTTTGTATTGGGAGGCACCAGTCCAGGAGGCGGAGGAGTGATGGAGAAGTGCCTGAGGCTGGCTGCAGGAGGTCCTGCTGAGAGCTGTCTGCTCACGGGGGCTTGAAGGTTGCTTTTTTGCCCTTCTCCACCTCTTAGCCTCCTTTCTCCCCCAGCCACTTCAATCCACCCCACCACCACCTCCCCCTCTTCCTCCAGGTGCTGATCTAGGCATGGTGAGATCTAGTAGAATACATGAAATGGCTTTTCTGCTATCTCCAGCGACTCTGCTGGGAGCAGGGAAAGGCAGATCTTCATTCTGCCCCCAGATGGAGAAGAGCCCAGCTCAGATCGGGGTGAAGGTGTCACCCAGTCGTCCTTTGCATTTCTAAAATAGTTCAGCCATGCCTAATCGTAGGCGCTGCACTACGAGACCTGACAGAGTTCCTTCTCCTTTAATTAATCTCCAAGTTTGCTATCTGAGTGTGGTGCCATATGGTATTGATTTTTCAGCTCCGTATGACAGCACTTGCCATGAAAGTAGCTAACCTAATTAAAGATGGGGACACCGTGCATGCAAGCTCTTTCCTTCACACTCTTCCCTTCAACGCTGCTTTCTGGAACTGCTCTCCCAAACCAAACAGGTGCTGTAACACAGGACCAGGCCAGGCTCTGGCTACCATCACCTGACAGCCCAGTGCTCAAAGGCAAATTCAAAAGTTGGGTGGCGACACACAAGCAATACGACCCTCTGCCAAAACAACCCTGTCCCAAAGAAACCGGCTGGAGGACCCACAAGAAAAAGAGAGAAATAGCATCAAATGCAACCCCACGTGTAGTTCCTGCTTCTCGTACAAGTGAAGACATACGGGCTTCTTCAGCTCTTGGGTTGGTAGCCCCCTTTGTAAAACATGCGCCAGGCAAAGCACAGCTATTGCTTTTTGTGGGGTTCAGTTTTCCTATTAGAAAGGACACAGAGCGTGAAGGACTTCCCAGCTCTCCTACCAGCTTCTGCTCTTTGCTTTGGTGTGATTTCTGCAACATAAGCAGTGTACCTTGATGCCAAAAGGGGCCATATTGTCCAAAACGAACAGACTGAGTGTTGCTGACACTGAACAGTTACCTAATCAGCTCAAACAGCGACTTGCATGATGGATATTGTCACACTCTGGGAAAAAAGGAGGAGGAAAAAAGGAGGAGGAAAAAAGGAGGAGGAAAAGGATTAAGAGGAAGAAATAATTATCTCCCTTGTGGGGTCATTGTCTGCAAATCTCTGAGCTTTTGCTGAATCTTGAAGGTTACAACAAATTGCATTTTCTTCCAATTTGGAAATGGCAGCAAGTGCTCTTGCTTCCTTTTGCTCAGCACCTCAAAAGGCTCTGGTGTTATTACAGGAGGTCTGCCTGCCATCAGGTCCTTTCAGCACCCCCTGCTCCCCCTCCTTGACTGTTCCTGGAGGTTTCATCCAGCTGAAGGTGCAGGAGCTGCACTGGCTGCAGAAACCCTGGGAGATGCCCTTTGCTCTGCAGGAGCGGCTCAAGGGGAAAGAAAAGCCGAGCTAATAACAATTTTCCACATGATTAAATGCATTGATCTGGGACAAACAATACTCGGCTGTGCCTCTGTCTGCGGTGCAGAGGAGGAGGAGGGA